GTGGAGACCAGCTGGCTGAACCATGTATCAGAAAGGAAATTTCCATAAGATGTCCAGCAGCCCGTTTCACCTTATTGTATACTTAAAATGCAAGGAATGGGGTATCAGAAGAAGACACAAGAAAAGGTGAGTTATGACCTACTGTATAACACAGCAGTTCAACTTGAACTTGATAAAATGAAATCAGGTGTTTAGCACAGAAGGAAAATGAAGTAAACTTAGGGAAAGGGTCTATGTTTTAAAGAGCTACTGTATCTGACCTTTTAGATCTAACAGAAAATCTAAGACTCTGATTTTATACTACTCACTACTACTACTGTCCACTACTCAATATATTGACTATTATATTATACTATTAGTATAAGAATAGTGCTCACTCCTATTTTAATAGTGGTCTTTAATTTTTGGAGTGTGTCTGACGTTTTGCTTATATGCCTATTTGAATAATAAACATCTTTTAAACTATTCCCAGTTCGTGATTCCACCACCAGCTAGATCACTGGAGATTAAGGAAAAGTATATTTTACTCTATATTTCCTGAACAGAAGGGGTGTTGTAATTTAGCGTTTATAAACTGTTTGTACATAAGGTGGCGTCTGGACTGACCTGATTATTTCGTATATAATTTCATACTGTAAAATGGATGTTTTGATTTAACTATTAGCCAGCTACAGTACCTCTTTTGTCAATCAACCCTAATTTCCTTTGTGAGGATTTATTAATCTATAAGTACAGAATACCTGGGAGAAATGACCCTGCTTTCTCCACCTACAAGTACTGAGCCACTGCTTAAGCCTAAATCCTGCTTGACTGGAGAATGAAATCACCAGTTAACATCTGAGGTTCCCCAAAGGTTTTGTTACCATTAATGTTGTTACCATTGTTGCTATTATTACCTGTGCTGGGTAGTCACACAAGTCTATTTTGTTTCTTAACCATTAATTCCTAAAAAAACAAAAATATGTTGAGTTTGTACATTCAAAAGAAGTCTAAATAGGACAAGGTAACTAGGTCATACATACTAAGTCTAGTGTCATACAGTACATTGCAATTCTTATTAAACTTTCTACAATAGTAGAGCTGTACTGTGCAGTGGCTGGCTCCCATATTGTATCCTATTATTGCTTGGCTAAATGTTCGGGCAAAGCCAATGAAACAATCAGGATCAAACAAAACAGGCTGAGGATATTTGTCAGACTAAAAAGGCAAGAGATTTCAATTCTCCAGAAAGCTGTCGATATGCGATGCTGTGCTCGATTTCCTTTGCGAATCCCCAAAGGAGGAGTCTGTACCGATACGAAAATATGAAATGTTTCAAATTAGAAATGCCGTGACATTCAGAATTAAAAGCCAATGTTCTTCAGTGAGTTGGATGCTCAGTGGGTAAGATTTACAGTCAAGTGGCTGACACATCAGGAGGCAGTTAAATTCTCAATACAAAAAATCTGCTCGAAATTTATGACAATGATAATAACAATAAAAATGATGCCGTGAGGCATGTGTAAGCATTACTTAAATAATGGTTTTATATATACCATATAAAACCTTGGAAACATTAGACATCCCCATTTTATTCATACTGGGCAGTTATACTAAAGTTCAACAAAGTATTCAGACTACTTTTTGAATTTAGAAAATCCTTAGAAATACTGCCTGAAAACCTCCTAATTAAACATTGTCGAGGGTGTTATACAGTTTAGAAGGTGCTACTGTGCCAAGACTATGTTCAGGTCACCCAGCAATTCTGATGGAGCATGAGAAATGTGACACAGCTGGGGCAAGGCTGAAAAAACCTGTCCATGAGGTCTGTGATTCCTTTTGTACAGCTTCTGTATTACAGAGGGTTTGGCATGAATACGGGTGCTTCACTGGCACAGGCAAATGAAAGCCACTTTGCGACACCTCTGACTGAAGCGTGAAAGGTTGTTTAGGCTCTGTGAGTGGAAGATGCTTAAACCCCTGCCAATGTCAAAGGTGAGGACATGTTTGGAAACAACTGAAGAACCTAAAAATACTTTGCTTCTGCAGAAGACAAAACACTGGAAGGTCACCACACTTGCACAGAACTCCAGTCTCTACTCCATCTACTGTAGCACTGCTGGACAGGAACATTCAGAGCCAAGAAATGTACTGTAAGTCTGCAAACCTGTCAACGTTAGAAGGAGAATGGTAGAAATGAACAGATGATGTTGTCTTCAAGTCCTACAATGACATTGTTATAACTGAAGTTCAAGCTTATTGTTTGAAACGGTGTGCAAAAAATCTTATGGTGGCCCATCCCTTATGTAATACGAATGGGAAAAGTAATTGAGCAGAAAGGAATGTGAACTCCTGATCTTGCCTTGGGATTCACTAGGGGGTCTGTGCCCCCAAAGGGGGAAAAAAAACATGAGCTGAGCCCAAGCCAATCCCTGTTGAGCAGACAGAAAGAGTCCCGCCTCAGCTCTACCCTCTTGGGTACAATGGCTTGGCAGACTTAACAGTCCTACTGTCACGCTGTAGAACTTCTGGAAAGTTCTACAACACTGTGATAGGTACAGTATAAAGGAATATAGCATATTGCCTATTGCAACTGTGTTGTTTTATTTTTTCTGCTGTCACTTGTAAACCATGCTTTTCATGTCTCCTGACAAAAATAAGAGCCACACAATTTTTTTTTTTTATTTGAATGGCAGCAAAAAATCATTGCCCCCTCAGCTCTTTTCCTATTCTTGCTCCAGAATGCATGGGTATTCTCAAAGAGTTTGAAGACAGAATCTGAAGAACACATAATAAGACACTATCTCACCATCCAGCTGGAAGATGGAACTGAATGTCTTTCCAGCAAGTAATGTTTGAAGCATCCTTTGAAAGTCACATAACATAACATGCTCGTAAATCCAGGGCTGTACTGTTTCAAACTCCTTTGGCCTTTTGAGATGCATATTATTAACGAACGATTTGATGATTTATATCATCACAAAAAAATGCCAGATTTGTCACTTCTGTTGATATTGAGGCCAAAATAAAAAAAAAGAATTGCTGCGCTTGATGCAAACATGTTTTCAATTATTACAAGTGAAATGTTATTAAACAAAAAAAATGCTTGAAGCGGTATCACAAACTCCTACATGTTTTAAATTTTGGCTTCCGAGGCTCAAATTCTGTTTCTTATAGTACTGTTTTCCTTGCACATTTCTCTGGTCTTGGCAATTTCAAACAACAGACTCACAGCCTGAGGTGTTAGACAAGCACTTAGCTCAAGTTCAACTGGGGTAAACAGAACACATCGAGAAGACCCTGCTTTTTCTTCTGGAGTCCAGCATCAGCTGCCTTTTATGGGTTTTTATGAAGTGCTGGTGTGTCTATGCAGGAAGCGATCCATTGTTTTCAGCTGTATAGTCTGCCGTGCATTGTACCACACCAATAAAAGCACGCCATGGGCCTTACTAGGATAGCCAACAGCTTTCATTGGCATTTAGTTTGCTAGTTCCATTACATTCTGTACAGTGCACAAGAGGGTGTTTGGTAATGTGTGGTCCTCAGTAGTAATGCAAGAATAGAGTTCAAGGAATGATAATTTCTTTGTCAGTGATTATAAGCATAAATCTGATTCCTTGTGTTAAAACATTTTTTTTTTCTGGCAGACCTGCAGTGAATTATTTTCAGAGCAAATATGTACATCACTCAAGTTCCAAAAACCAGGAAAATCGATCACGATGTGAGAAGGAGATGATGCATTAGCATTCCTTCTTTTCTGTATGTGAAGTATTTTGCGCTTTTGAACAGATTGCAACATAGCTTTTTGAAAAGCATTCCAGTATTTTTTGTAAAGTTGGTAAAAAAATCTGCTTAATGAGTGTTTAGCATTGCTAAATGGCTAACTGTACACTGAAATCAAGTTAATCACTATCTGAGAGACATGTTCCAGAGTCAGTGTGGTAACATAGCCAGTTCTACACCAGAGACATTCCCCACATTTAGTTATATAAGGCCATGAAATCTGATTTTTGAATTGCATTTTAAAAAGCAAACTTATTTTTGTGCACACATCTATTATTTTGCAGTTGTGACATTTACAATACAAAATCTAAACAAAAAGACAGTTTTTTTAAGTTGTAATCAGTAATCCACAAACCCTTACAGTTAGATTAATACAATTATTGTGCTCATGTCAAAATCGAAGTCTGTTCCTCTACTGTCTAGACCGTTGATCAAACTGCAGTCTTTCAGTCTCTCTCTTTTCAATCTGCATCTTTGTTCCAAATGCCATTGTTACACCTCTGAACATGGTACACAATCACAAAATGATCGGTTCTCATCTGTCCTTGTTTTGTAAAGTAAAAAGAAAGAAAAAATATATTTTTTAAAATGGGACTGCATCTCCTTCTACACAAAACTCCAGAAGACAGGTCTCTTGGATTCTCTTCCATCCATCACTATGATGATTCCCATTTCATACTTTTGAGCTGTAGCTCATGGACAAAAAAATAATGACTTTTCTGAAATGATATCTACCAGGTCGATGGGTTATGGTTTTGTTTTTGACAAAATGAAAACTCTATCAGACAAGTAGGACCACTCTGGAGTTGAACCAGAAACAACAAGAATGACACACAGAGCCTAACGAGAGACAAAACAAGACCTCATTTGATGAGAAAAATATGCCATAGCCATGCCTTGCAATCTCTGCATATTGCAGAAGAAAGGTCCTTAAATGAAGAAAAAAAAAACTATTATTTATAATGGTCAAGTTACTGAATTATAGAAAATTGAACTGTTTATGACCATCTCAGCACAGGCTGTAGCCTCAAAACTCTTCAAATTGATTTATTTGAAGGAGCCCATCTTTGTTCACATCTGTGAACATCATATCCAGATATAATTTTGCATATACTGTCATTTTATTTTTTTACTTAAAAGAAATAGATGATGTATAACTTTTTTTTTCCTGCATTGGACTTCCAAAAAATCTCTCCAATCTCCATCTGGCAAATTCCCGAGAGCTCAGCGGGACTTACTTATATAGGCTATCGGGTTCCAGGCACTTGAAGACCAATGAGTAGATGGTGGAGTGGATGTGATCCCCATGTCGCTTTCCAGCCACCACGCAGGACGAGCCCAATCCCGACAGCAGGTCGTCAGCAAAGCTCATCACCTCCCCTAGCGAAAAGGAAAAAGACATCAGAATGCACTGTCAGAATGCACACTGTGTGATCACTGTCCAAGGGATGGAAAATTCCAGAGGTACTGTTCTTCTGACTGTCAGAGTCACTCCTGTAGGTTTTCAATACTGAATGAGCGCTACAAAATGTGTAATACATCCTTTATACAAACATTTTTCAGTATACTGTAAGTAGGTACAGTAGCTGCAACGGAACAAGGAAAGGTTTATTCCATGCTGAAAAGAAGAGACAACATTTCGGCTGTGGAGCCTTCTTCAGGTGACACATGGAGTTTTTCAATATACTGTACAGTATATGTTTGCATTTTCCAACATTTTCACACTTTTATACAAAGCCTTTCAAGTGCAAATGATATGGGCTTGTTCTCTGAGGACAGTATTGAACTGTATGTGTATAGGTATAGGTGACTTTTACTGTAACCTCAACCTTTGTAAATGTCCGTCAATGAAGGAAATTCACAACTACAGGGGATTAAAATGCGTATATCTTCAATGACCAGTAAGTTGTTTATATTCAAATTTTGAACCACTTTCTACCAATAACTTTTGTATTATATATCCATCCAATTCATTATTGGAAAGAATCAACAATTTAATTACTAGCTACACTTAATACTACCAACCCTGTTTAATTTAGAGAGTATTACATTCACCAATATGCCCACCTGTCAAAGTGGAGCCTTACAGAAGAGAGAGTGCCAATTGGGGAAATGCCACATCTCCCACTCTATGCTTACAGGTGCCCAGGCAATTCCAGAAGTCATTTTTTCACTGAGTGATTCCTGTTTGACCAAAGCTCACCCAGCATTTGTGGCAATTGGCTCACAGTATACTGCCACTAGAGGAATCCTGGTCACAGCTGGCCAGTGATATGTCCTACAGTAGATTGAATCAGTAGCTTCTGGGTGCTAAAGTTTAGCCAGTGAGAAATTTTACTCGTTGAGCCCCTTGTTAGTCCTATGAAGAATGTGTCTGTAAGCCCCCCCCCAAAAAAAATCCATTCCAAACCAGCAGCTAGATGCCCAGATTGATACCACAAATATTGATTTGTACTGGAAATATTGTGAATCAGTGTTTGTTACAAGCACTGTTAACCTTTTTGATGCCAGGGACTGACTGACAGTCTGTTTAAAATGTCACGGTTCACTTGGTCCATTAATAAAAGGTCTGGACTGTTTTCATCTGTCTGTTTTTTTTTCCTGTTACATCAGCTCATATAACCTTTGAGCTATAAGGTCCACATGTAAATGTTAAACATAAAATAACAGTGCACACAATGGCAATCCATAAAAAGCTGAACAGTCTGAAACACTACTCTACCTTTTTTGGTAAGAAACAACAAGAAGGCTAATTGCCTGATCATCTTACATACAGTGCTGGCACAATCTTATCAGTTCATGACTTATGTTCTTGCACAGAGCTTTACAGCCAGATAACAGTTTGATTTATCCATTGTTTTTTTAAAATTGTTTGACCACCTAGATAGACAGACATGATTTGTGATTCTATTGACTTGTTAAGCATAAGATTGCACATCACATACCTGCCAAAAGACACTAACATATACCTTTAAAGAAAAAAAACAACAACAATAAAATGTTGCAATAATAATGATTAAATTGTGGGGATGCACATTTCATGATATTACTCAATCTAACAAAAAAGAAAACATGTTTAGCAGTTAGTTTTAGCCAATCTTTAATTCTACCTTAACCCAAAAAGATGAATAGGGTCTTGAAGGCAAATGCAATGCAGACAATCATTTAAGATGTATTGTAATAATATGGAATCATTTATTACTAAGAAACAACCAACAGAGAGGACCAACCAATGCAGAGAGACGTTCTTCCTTGACCAAACCTATTTTATCTGACCTTATTAGGTTGTCAGATGCCCTCACAGAAACTGTCATTCTCCTGATTTGCAATACAGTGCACTGTATGTTACATCAGAGCCAGAAAACACATACAGTAGCAGGAGGATTACTACTCTGTATTTCACAATTTATACTTTTTCACGAAAATCTGGATAAAACTGAAGACGTTATGGCCATACTGTATATACAAAATGTGTCAGATAGGGATGGGGGAGGGTTTTTGCTTTCATTCCATTCCCCAGCTGAGCTAAGGGAACAGAACATTCCCTTAATCACTCACGAGTCGCGAGTGTGATTTTGTGAAATTTCACTACAGCGTGATCACATTGAAAAAAAAAAAAAACAGAAAACGGTTGCCAGGTTTTCCTTCTTAATTTTTTATAATCAAGTCCGACATGGGCCAGCAGAGAGGCAGCCATAGAGAGGTCAAAACTATTTGAGCTCCAAAAGCCTCAGCCAAGTCTAACATTTTTTTTTTTACAGTTACATTTCTAGGAAACACCTCAGGCAGGCCAGGGTAAAAGCCCTTCAAGACTTGCAGATCAATCTGTATGATGGAAAACCCTGGAGATCTGCCCCAAACCTCAACATGTCAGACAAGCCACTCTATTAAATGGATACAAGGGATAACAATCAGCCGTTTTAAAAACCATGTATTTAAAGTTAATGTACTACATCTGACCAGTGCTCTATGTAATAGAAATAAAATAAGTGCATGTTTATTGACATGTTGGGATTCTGGACCTTAAACTATTCAAATGTGCCCTTTTGGAGCTTACTTTTAATCCTTAGATCACCTGCCTTTTTAAGCCACAGGTATTCCCCATTCTCATTTTCTCATAATCTGTGGCTGTTATTTACTGTGTATACAGTATATTAGTCTTGAATTCTCCCTACACCACATTCAATTTTTAGCTCCTCTAAATGTAGATTTGTCCAGAGTCTTCCCCAATAAAGAAAAACTGCATTCTGATATCAATGAATAGTGATAGAAAAAAGACCATGTTCAAGTAGGTAGCTGTGTCAGCATGCATAGGCTGCAAAGGAGCAATTAAAAGGTTTATTCCAAAATGAAAAGAGAAGAAACTAAATGAAACACATGTTTTCAGCATGGACTAAACCTTTACTTGTTACTTTGGAGAAAAAAGACCATAGCCCTTGCTGGAATCTGGATATAAACAAATTATCGTTGATAGTGAACTGCAGTGTTTAGTTTTATACTCCTCATCTAAAATTGCACACAGGTACATAAATATACAGAAGTTCTGGCTTTATTTGAGGAATTCCTTTACACTTTTTATAATTTGTATTTTTCTTTTCTTGGCATTATCTTTAACAAGCACATAAAAAGCTTTTATTTTAAAATATAAAACGGTGCTTTTTTCATCTGGAAACTATGTTTTACTTGAATTCATTATCAGATAATCTTTTCATCCACCTAAGTTTAGCTAAAGGCAGTGCTCTCATTCCATAGCAGATATTCTCAACTTTATGTTTCCAAGTGCAGTGCTACACATCAGCTTTTGCAGATTAAGATCTATATTTACTGCATTAAAAGTGGAGTGAAACAATTCTTCTTCTCGTGAAATGCTGTATTGCATTAGTATCTCATTTCTTAGTTGAACTTGTACACTCTTGTGAAATGCAAAACACAGTTGTAAAATATCAGTCAACCCAGCTTACAGGAAAAACATACTGTATTAAACAGTCCCTGTACTCACTGGAGTTCCTACGAAGAGCTGTCAAAATAGTTTAAAGAATCACGCGGTTTTGGATTTGCTGGGAGACGTAAAGGAGAACTTAGCTTCAGCTTACTTTTCATAGGCCAAGATGTAAACAGAGGGAATATGTGTGCAAAGGGAGGAAAAACAAAGAAAAAGATTCTGACATGAATAATTTGATGTTTTCCTAGAAAGAGGGGTCTGTGAAAGAAACACTTCCCCACACACATTCCTTTTCCATTATAAAGCCCAAGACATTTTTCACAATAACAAGGTTTGTTTAATGTTGGACTGAATTTCTCTCGCTTTCTAGTAATGGAGCATTTCAAAGAAGCCACGGAGATGTGAGTCGTGAGAGGTTTGCTTGCAGGTTCTGAATGACGTGCCTGTGAGTGGCAAGGGCTGCCTCAGTTTTGCCCCTGTCCTGATCATTTACAAAAGACAAAAGGTGCCGACGATGGTACAGTTGCATTTCGTAAATATACCAGGAGGAGTCCCTGAACGTGGCTCAGTTCACATTAGTTTACCAAAGGCCAGGAAGAAATAAACAGTTTAAACTAATATTTTGTGAAACCTGCAGAAGAAAATAATGATCTGAACTTGAGAGAAACTATCCACCCTATCATTATCAGTAATCAGCCAATGCTGGATAAGGGTTACACTTTCTATCCAGTGAGTAAGTGGGACAACACCAGGACAGGACATACATAAACAGATAGGGAACATTTAGGGACACACATTAATCTAGTCAGCATGTCTTGAGAAGTGGGAGGAAACCAAAGTATGCAGGGAAAACCCACATGGACACAGAGAGAACATGCTCCATACATAAGGTGGAATCAAAGCCAGGACCCAAGAGGTTCGAGGCAGAAGCATTACTTATACTGTTATCATGCTGTCCATGGTAGAAGGTATTTCACTAGAGTTCAATATCTTCAAAACAATGTGGCTGAACTGAGACACCACTGTATGTTTCCTTATGATTATGTTCTAATAACAAAGGAAATTAACTAATTTCTTCATTCTAAAGCTCCCCCCGGTCAGTGCAGCATTTCATTTGATCTCTTCTGTCTTTAAACCATGTCTGCATTTAAACTTGCACACTGCATGGCACAGATTTTATAACGTTTGAGAGGGGAGTTGTGTCAGAGGGAGTTGGCTTCAAAGGTTCAAGTTTAATACCAAGCTGAAAAATAGAAAGAAGAAACACAATGTTTTGGCTGTTGAGCTGTCTACTTGCAAGTTGGTTTTTCTTTCTGCATCAGTTCCTCTTTCTGCTTTTCAACATGGAACTGTCTCTTATTTGTACATGTGTTATCAGTGTTGATAACTTGATAAGTTTACTTTTTTTATGATCATGGAGAAGGTCTTTTATGAAACT